TCCCCCATGCCCCCCAAGACGGGGTGGGAGGGCAGGAACTTCCCCACGCCTCCTGGCCCTGCCACATCCCATCCAAGGGGTAACCGGGTTGGACCCCCCCCAGGAGAGGCTGGAGAAGGCCCTGGAGCTGGTCCGGCACCAGCTGGATGAATGCCAAGGTCCGGAGCTGGCGGAGGAGAAAATCTGGTACCAGCAGAGGCAGCTGCAGGACGAGCTGGTGCAAGTCAGAGCCCGGCTCTGCGACCTGGCGCTGGTGAGTGTGAGCGGCCCCGAACCCCACCCCAGAGGGGCCGCACCTCGGCGCTGGGTCCCCGTACACCCAGCCCCCTGCCCCACCCCAGAGGGGCCGCACCTCGGCGCTGGGTCCCCGTACACCCAGCCCCCGGCCCCACCCCAGAGGGGCCGCGTCTCGGCGCCGGGTCCCCGTACACCCAGCCCTCGGCCCCACCCCAGAGGGGCCTCACCTCGGCGCCAGGTCCCCGTACAGCCAGCCCCCTGCCCCACCCCAGAGGGGCCGCGTCCCGGCCCTGTGTCCTGTATAAACAGCTGTGAGTTTCCCGTTCAGGACAGCGAGAGGGCTTGGGGAGATTTCGCCGCCCTAGAAAATGAGCTGCTGATGCTGCGGGAAACGCTGGCTCAGATCCGACAGCTTGGGCACCCCCAGGTACGTCACCCCGCTAGGGCACCTCCATCTTGCCACTGCGCTGAAGGGATGGGCCTGTGGGACTCCCTGCCACATGATTTCCCTGGGGCGAATCGCTCAGCAAGTCCCTAAAGCAAACCGGGATTGTACAGAGGGCGCCGGACTGCAGGGCAGGGGGCTCGGACAGGGGCACCGGACTGCGGGGAGCGGGGCGGGGGGCTCGGCCGGGGGCGCCGGGCTGTGGGGTGGGGGGCTCGGCAGGGGGCGCTCTCCCCTCATAGCTATAGGGATGTGGGAGCGCTGGCTAGGAGACACAGGGCCTGGGAGAACCGCCTGGTCTGTCTGGCTGCACCAGCTGTAGACGATATTCTGGGAGCAGGCGGGATACCGGGGTAGATGGGCCCGTAGGTGGCGCTGGGGTCCGATGCTAATTACTGTGCCGTGACCTTTCCCCTCTGCCCTTTGCCCTCAGGAGCAGGGGGCTGCCCAGCAGGAGCTGTGGATGATCGATGACATCATTGCGGGGTTGGGAGCCAGCCCTGCCCCCTACCCCGCCCTGGACCCCAGGACAAGTCCAGGTGCTGGCTGCAATGTCCCAGGGTGGTGCTAGGGGGCGCTGTGCTGTGGGGGGCAGGGTGGGGCTCTCGGGGGCGCTGTGCTGTGGGGGGCAGGGTGGGGCTATCGGGGGCGCTGTGCTGTGCTGTGGGGGGTGGGGGCTCAGCAGGAGGAGCCGGGCTGTGGGTCGCTGACGCTGTCTCGTCTCCTTTTCAGGCTTCTCTCTGGCTGCCCCCCCCATTCTGGAGCATGGGGGGGGCTCAGCCCGGAGCCACCTG